GAAGGTTCCCTTTGGAAATTTGACCATGTGAAGCTGGAAGATCCTAGTCTTTATTCTTTTAGTCCACACTCATTGATGAATTGATTAAATTTTCTCATGCTAGTTATGATGCTTTGGTTGTTATTCGACTCATCTATGTTCCCAAAGTCTTCTTATCGAGTATAACTCCTTCCAAAAGTCACTACTGTTTTTGTATTTGTTTAGTTGGAGTTATCTGACACATCTATGAAGTTACATTAAAACCCCCACCCCAGCATCATGGCCCTTCCCAAGTTTTTTCTTTCTTTTCTTTTTTTTTTTTTGAAAGTATAAGTTAAAGTATTTCATTTCAAAAAATGGGCCACATTACAATTAAGTCTCTGTGCAATGAGAAGGTGTTCAGAGATAAACCATCAACCCAATACACCCATCCCTCAAAAGAACTAAAAACTCCTTACAAAAAGGAAGTCTGAATAAAAAAAGGAAGAAATATGCTTATTTCTAAATAAAGGATGTATTGCCAACCAAGAGTGAACCATCCCCATAATCCTGTTCAGAACTTCTTCCTTTGAAGAGTGCTTTCTTTTGCAGATTCTGCTATTTCTTTCACACCATAGTGCCCAGAAGACAGCAGCAGGTAGGATGCTCCAAGCTACCTTACCAGCCATGGATAAGCCTCCCAGAGCCCATGCCTCTATGAAGCCCTTCACATCAGCCGAGAAGCACATCGTAACTCCAAACAGACTCAGCATATTTATCCACACCCAGTTAGAAAAATTGCAGTGAATCAACAAGTGCCCTTCCCTAAGTCTTCTTATTGAGTACACTCCCAAAAGTCACTTCTCTCTGTATTGATTTTGTTTATACATGTTTGTCATAGCCCATTAAATCCTTCCTCCACATTTTTTTTTTACTTTGATAGACACTGTGCAATACCCCGCTAATTCCTCCTCACATCCATACTACTATTTTTTTGATAGATACCGCATTAATACTATTTATTCCACATAAATAATATCCTGATGCTCCCCAAGGTTCAAAAAATCGCAACTTAACAGGGAAGCACCATGGCCCTTCCCCGAGACTTGGGGAGGCACCATGGCCCATCCTTAAGTCTCTTATTGAGCACAATTCCTCCTCAAAGTCACTTCTCTTTCTGTATTGATTTTGTCTATACATGTTTGTCATAGCCCATTAAATCCATCCTTCACATTTTTTACTTTGATAGACACTGTGGCAATACCCCACTAGTTCTTCCCCACTAGTTCTTCCTCAATTCATACTATTATATTATTGGTAGATACCACATTCCCAAGGTTTAAAATGTTGCAGCTTGTCAGTGCGTATCATACGATATATGTATAGTTTTTAAGTTTTAGGCCCCATTCATTTACAATAGGGGGGGAGTTGGTCAATAGGTATCTCTTTCCCATTGACCAACTTTACAACATTCTTTTTGCATTAACTACTGGGCCCCATGGTAAAAAGAGTTTCACTTACTCGGGTAAAATTTACCCATCTCCTAGTCCCAGGTGGGTAAGTCACTTTCCCATCTGGGGGAAAAATTATAAAACATAATGGGACAAGTTTGCCCATTTGACATTAGCTTTTTATGGGTAAAAAGGTAATTATATTACTTACCCGGGAATAAAAAGAACATGGATAAGTGAACTTACCCAGGAAACATTTACCTGGGTAAGTACACACTTACCCGGGTAAGTTACACAATTCTAAACGAACAAGGCCTTAAAGGTTTCAAACATTACTATCAGCATATCAAACTATTCTGACTTTATTTTATTGAGAAAACAAATAAAAGGTTTAGGTGAGTTTTGAGGTGTCAACATGCATGATACACAAAATTTCCATATTGTGCATGTCAATATTTAGAATCTTGTTGTCCCCAAGCAGGTGCCATGGACTGACTAATACTTCTGCAAGCCCAGTCTAACTGCTTCTTATTCTCCTTTTGTTTCCATTGTTTTTGACTCCTGTGTCAAAACTATACCCAGTTCTTACTTTCTCATCTCTTTTATTATTGTCCTCTTTCTTGCTTTGCCTAGTCCTTTGACATCCCAACTAATGATCCTCGTCATTACTTTCTTGAATGCCCTCTATTTTAATCCATTCTCCCATCAACTCTTCTTCCTCTCCTTTCATTGTACACTTTCTTTACAATAGTCAGTTCCACACTTAGCCTTTCCACTTCATTTATTTTTCTTCTCTTCTTTTTTCCTGTTTTGAGTTTTTCCTTGTTTAGACCTTTATCTCTTTCCAATTTGTTATTTCTAATCCTAAATCTTCTACAAATTTTCTCACTGGACTTTTTACCTGGTTATCCTCATGCTTGCCTTTCATTCCTTGTTTATTAGTTTGTGCTTGTTCAGGACTTGGTATTACCTTTGCTGTTCCTTTCCTCTTATTTCCCATCATTCTTCTCCACATCCAGAAGGACCAGAATCAACAAGTTACCATAGTATTCCTCTTTCAGCTTCCAAGTTCTCTGTACCCCCTTTCCATGGCATAAGGTAGGGTGATGTACTTGGCTTGGTTCACATTTAAATCTGCTTTCCAAGCAGGAACTGAAAAGGTTGAATTATTGTCATATGCCTTGGGGTGATGGAGAACGAGTGTGGGATTTGGGAATAGGTGGGGGATAGTCCACTGTCCACAGATATCTTGGTACCTACTACCCAAAAATTTATTGCTGATCGGTTGACTTCTGACTGTCTTTTGGGGGTGATTACAAGGAGTTTTCAGTCCTTGATGAGAGTTTATAGGTGTTCTCCTTCATACATATTATTCCCCTTGGGCAGCATTTAGTTGGGATTATTATCTCCTATACGTACACCCTGCCTTTGTAATTGTATGTTCACTAAAGGTTCCTTGTTCTTTTGGTATTCAGTTGATTCAGCTCTTTTGGGAGATCTATCATGTAGCCTTTCCCACTTTTGTGGTCTTCAAATAATATGGCATTGTTTAATATCTCTCTTCTTGCATCAGGCCATCAATTTCACCACTTCCAGTGCTTAATTAGTTCTCTGACCTTTCACATTCTGATTCGTTGCTAATTTTGATCCACCTAAGTACCTAACATCAGCGTTTGCTTTTTGTTATCCTCATCCTTCCTATAGTATTGGAGATATGTCTATCATCAATAGAAGGTGGATTATAGGGTTGATCTACAGGCAAATTTTATATTAAAAACAGACTTTAAACCACTAATATTAGTTGAGAAAGTTACCAATTGATGGTATAGGGCTGTTAGGCACCCAACCTTAGAGTCCCTAGGTTGGGATCAGCCATCATCCATCCATGTATCAGAAATTGGGTAGGTCATATTGTGCCTGAGTAGGAAATTTCTACCATTTCATAAAATATATAATATGCTAAACTGCTGCACCATTTCTTATTATATGCGCTTTTTTTTAGTTTGTTAGTAGTACTCTTTTAATCTATAAATATGAGATTTGAGTCATTGCCCAAATTTATTGAGATTTATGGTTTTCTTATCACCTAGATATCTTTTCTATGATGGCGCCAACTAGCTCAGTTGGTAAAAGTCTCTAGCTGGTTGTGGCGGACACTTGGGATCAAATCCTGTTGTCACCGGGGTTGGGGGTTTTATGAGTAGGGGGACAGGCTATCTCCCCTTCCCTTGGCCCCCCATGTTTGTGTAGCCACATGAAGCCATAAAAAAGGTACCTTATAAAACCTGAAATGCTTGGTAACTTTGACCTCGCAGATGACCTCCTTTCAGATTGGAGGATTCCTGTGAAAGAAGACGAAGTCAGAGGGCTGGTGGGATATCTCAGGCTTAGGTCTCTGACGATCAAGTCAGTAAAACCGAGCTATCCGAGGTGGTTAGGCTGGTAATTAATGAAGCCAATAGTATGAAATGAATGCAGAACTTACCTTTAAATAGGTTTCGGATGCCCATGCCAAAAGGATACGTGTCGGAGAGGTTTTGGACACCTGGAGCTTGGGCAGGACACTAGCCTCATCATGTGTGGCTGTCCCATCATCCAGTGGGCCCCGGACCTCCTCCATGCATCAGTTGGCATTTTGAACATTGTAACAATTTATTGATCTGGGTAGGTTGTTGAAACCTAGCTGGTTTTCAATGGTTCTGTTGGGTTTTGATCAGTTTGACCGTTTCCCAGCCATCTGGAAAACTGGGATATTAAAAAACCAGAATGGCCTCCAGTTCCCGAGTCTCCTGGTTTCACTGACTGGTCCTGTCTGAGTCTTGCAACACTTGTACAGAAGTAAGTTGCTTGCATTTGTCCTGCACAAGACCTGCGCAGGACTTGCAAGTGGACTATGGAATTCCACCAGCTATTATCTGACAGATTTGACTAATTTATGTATGAATTTGAAGATGACAACAATTTATTAGTGGTAGGAGAGTTTATTGCTTTAAATTTGCTTTAACATGCTTCAAATACACAATAATACATGATGAATAATACTCAACTGAAATGTGATGAGTGAAAATCAATAATAAGCAAGCAATTTAGTGTTTTGCAGAACTATATTAGAGTGCTTATATGGGCATCAAAAAACAAATGTGTGTGTGCTCAGGCTCATTGAAAAGCACCAAATTTTCCCATTACAACAAAATTTGTTATGATCAACCATATTACCAATCACATTATACCAACACATGATCAAGTCACCACATCATAAAAAGATGTATATTAAATTTAGAATATCTCAAATTGATCATGATCTGATTGATATAATGGCTCACAACATGTATTAACTTATCATGCAAAGGTCCATTCCAAGTGTTCAAGAGTTTTATTGGCAAGAATGGATATGGCACCTAGAATGGAAGTCTGGAAAGAAGAAAGCTTTCTTACAATTAAGTGATTGTGATGAATCACCAGTATTCTACAACTAGTTGATTGTGGAATGACTAGTAGTATTTGTTACTATTTAGCACTAATTTTTTAAACGTTACATGACTTGTATAGCGGGTTTTGCTCATCTAATGCGGTAATTCATTTGAATTTCAGGTCTCTTTCTTCCAGCTGTGGTCAGGCCTATTTTGGATTCATTCGAGTCATCCAAGCAAGTTCCACAACCTGCTTTGAGTGATGTAAGTAATTAAGTTTTGATTGATGACAATGTCCATCCAAAATTCCCATTTTCATCTTAAGAACTGTCCTGACTGGGCCTTTATTTGAGAAGTCTGGCTCAGGTAATGTGATTTCCTATTATTGCATGAAGATAGTAATTTTTAAGACATTGCACCTGAATATTAGATTATTAGTCCTTTCCATTTGAAAAAAAAGGCAGATTTTGATATCCATTTTCAAATAATTATGCCTTGGATTTGCATAAAGTGCTAGATTTATTTACAAGCCTTTAAACTATGATTACACAAATAAACATTAATAACGTATTGATTTGCAAGGAATAGGTTTAACCTTTTTCTGATTACCATTTTGCAGGTGGTTGCTGGAATGACGGGTAAAAAACAGTAATTTGGCCAGAGTTGTAATTGGCAGCCGTTATTTTGATCTGATCACTCGTGGAATAAGCCTAAGCCCTCGTCGTGTTATTTTGATCAAATAGGTCCCATTGTTTTTTTTTTTTTTTTATCTGATCACTATGAGCTCTGCCTTGATCCCGGAGAAACGGAAAATGTAGAGTTGGTGATGCAGTGCTCTTGACTGTGGGTTGGTGAGAAGCGAACTATTGAACCAAAGGAGTGTTGGGGCTACTTGTCTAAAGCAATTTTTTTACTCAATAGTTTTCATTCATAGGGCTAGTCAACAGTGTTTACAGCCTTCATTAAAAATTCTGCTCGGAATTACAATCAGAAGAGGAGGGGGTTAAACCAAGGGAATAAGGTGGAAATAGAAAGAGCATGCTTGTCCAGTTTATGACTTAATGTGCTGCTTGATTAAACACTTGAGAAACCTAATGAACCGAGCAGTGATGGATCATTCATCATAGACATGAGGAGTTCGCAATCTTCAATGGTATTTCTGATTCTCCAAGGATGAATGCAATCAGAGTTCAACAAACACTTGATAACTGTTAGAGAATCTCCCTCAAGAATAACGGAACACACCTAAGGCCACAGCAAACGTGAGAGTTAAAAGTGTTGCCTGAGCTTCAATTTCCAAAGGATCCCCTAAAGGTATCTTCACGGATCTTGCATAGCAGAATTCACCATTAGAATCTCTAAGTAAAAACTCTGCACCTCCACCATAGTTATTTAATGCCCCATCGGAATTATGTATAAGAATGGATGATGGAGGCTTCTCCCGACTAGAAGGTGCCGGGTATAAGGATTCCAAATGTGGAAGCATTTGAATCACCTAGAGTGGATGGTATAAAGTATAAACTCTATTTGCGATTGACAAGCAAAAATCACAGAGATAGGTAGAAAAAGGTTTGTTCTCCATCATAGTCTTGCATCGAGCTTTTAAAAAATGCCACGTGTATTACCCCCTGTGCAAGCATTGATAAAGAAGATGGGTGTAGTGGATTTTCTAATTGAAACCAATGAAGTAGCCAATCCTGAATGTTCCAACGAACACAATTTTCTATCCGTAACAAAAATTTAGAGGCAAACCAAACTTTTCTAATAAGTAGGCATGTAAAAAATAGATGTGTGATAGATTCATCCTCTAACTCATATAGACGGCATTGAGGATTAATTTGTTGAGAATGGCGAACCCAACTAATAATGCAACTATAGGTATAGCACTAACTATACACCTCCACAAGAAAATGTGAATCCTAGGTGGCGAATTTTTTATCCTCCGAAAAGATTTCCATGCAACTTCACCAAATGCATAGATAGAAGACGAAGAATGAGCATTTTGATCAGAGAGATACCTGTAGGCCGAGGAGGATATTAGTTTACCATGAGTAGTATTTAGCCATATAAATACATCGTCCATGTCATGATTGTATCCTGGTAGTTGAATTGAATTTGAAGAGATCGTGGAAGGAGACCAAATCAGCCCCCACAACGTCCCACAGCATATCCCCACTGTGTATTCGAAACATCTCCCGATGATAATTCCAGAAATGATGAAATCATCATTGAGAGATGTTCCCAATGCACGGTGGGAATGTACTGTTAGAAGTTGTGAAGGGCTGATTTGAACTCTCGTGGAAACTATTGGCTTGTCAAAATATTCCTACAACCGATTAACCATCCACACGTGTGAATCCGGATGTATAAAATTAGCCACATGGATAGGTGATAAAGAGTGAGTTAGAGCTGATGGTAGTGTTTCTGGAGACTCACCGAACATAACCAACAGGGGTCTGTTCATAACCAATGGACCATCCATTTCCAAATAACCATCAACACCCCCAACATGGATGATGATGATGATGATGACATTTAAGCATGCTCGACCTTGTATGTGACAAGGTAGACCGAATAGGGGCTGACCAAAAATTATGATTTCCATGTAAATATTTAGATGTCAGGATTTGAACCCACACCTGATTTCCTTCAATCAAAAACCTCCAACATAATTTCATGAGTAAATTTAACAGCTGAAAATCTTTGAATCCTAATCCTCCAAGTGACTTGGGATTATTTGATCACAGTGGCTGGTGGGTTTGGGAGAACAACTTAATTGACATTGCATATGTCGGGACTCGGGAGAGAGTTCACAGTACTTTGAACCAACACCGTTCTGCTTGCATGAGATAAAAACTGAATTTTCCAAATATTCTACAGTCTCCCTTTGACTCTATCTTTATCAACGTCTTTGCAACCTATTAATTCATGAACATGACAACCTAGTATATTTCGTGTTTAGTCATCATTCTAACACCCAAAAGGTTAGTAATTCTCAGTCTTCCTCTGTGATGAACATTATCACTGAAAAAAATTGATGATTTATCAAAGCTGACCCGTTGCCTTGACCAAGAACAGAATTGATGAATTAGCTCTTTGATCCTGGATACTTCCCGCATGGGGCCCTGGCCAAATATGTGAATATCATCCGCATACATAATATGCGGATGATTCAAGATCATCCCACCAGAACCAAGCTGTAACCCTTTAAGATCATCGTGATGTAGAGCGTGTAGCAACATCGGTCCTCCATAAAATATCCGCCCCTAGAATAAACAAATATGGAGACAAGGGGCATCCCTGCCAGAGACCTTTGTGAGGTTGGAAAGGCACTGAAGGTTCACCATTAATATAAAATAGAATAAAAGTCTGTAGCTACACAGTTAAAGATCAGTTGATTGAAGGTTTTAAAAAAACTGCTCTCATTTTGAACATCATTAACAAGAAATTCCGCTCCATGCGGTCATAAGCTTTAGATAAATCCAATTTCCTTATAAAGAACCATATGGGTCGGTCACTCTTCTTTTGGTTTTGGATACTCTCTAGGACCTCAGTTGCAATTATACAGTTATCAAGGATTTGTCGGCCTCGGGTGAAAGCCGTTTGCATGGGAGAAATTAAACGAGGAAGTAAGCTCTTCAATCTAGCAGTGATTATTTTTGTAACAATTTTGTAACTGACATTTGTTAGGCCTGTAGGCCTAATGTCAAGACGCCATTTCAGCACCTTTTTTTTAGGGATCAAAACTACTATATTAGTTCCATTAATCGATTTCAGATATTCCAGGTGAGCAAATAAGTTTTATTTGAATGAAGCAAACCAAGTCAGTTCCAATTTCTTCTCAACATTTCTAGTGAAACAAGGCTGAGATGCTATTTAGTAGGACGAATTACATATAAAACTGTCCTAACCTCCTTAGTAGTGACATCACAAGGAGCAAACTCAACAGGGATATCATTAAAAGAAGGTGAAGTAGAAGAAAAAAGCTCAATAAAATAATTTTTTTATTGTACCTTCAATAACCGAGGGGGTCAAAAGTTCAAAATCTTTTCAGCAGAAGATATTATTTTTGCGCATTCGATTGGAAGCAAACATATGAAAGACCTTGTTGTTTCGATCCCCAGCCTGTAACCAATTACAACGGGCACGTTGATGCCAATAGAAGTCCTCGAGTTGTAGAATATGATTTTTCTTCTTGTAAATTAGGTTCAGTTCTAAACCGTTGACTGAAGAGCTGCTATTCGGGCTCGGATAACCTCCCTTCTTTTCTTTAACTGGTCCAATATTTCAAATTAATTTTAGTCGATGGGAACTGGGGAGATATATTACTGTCTCGCCAATCTTTCAATGAGCTGGTTGGACTTTGGGAGATAGCAGCTTCCAAAATAGTCTCTACATGTCTTTTAAGACTGAAATCTGCGTCTATGTTCATCTAGACAATACCAAATGAAGTAGTTAGGGGGTGAACAAGAAAAACCAAAAAACTGAACCGAATTGAAAATTCTTGTTAACTGAATTAATTGGTTCAGAAAACAGAAGGTACTGGTTTAGTTTCTATTAATCAATATAAAAAATCGATTATTAATCGAACCAACTGGTATATATATATATATTTATAATATATAATACATTATTTATTATTTATAATATAATATTTTATATTTATTATATATAATACTATGAAAATAAAAAAATCAAAAAACTGATGAACAAAACCGACAATTGGATGGATCAATTTGGTTTCAGTTACTGGTTTTTCAAAAATCAGTACCACTGGTTCGATTTAAAAAAAGGGCCAACAATTCAGTTAGCAAACCTGGTTTGGCCTGGATTGGAGATGTTCGATACAGTGCAGGAGATTAGAATTTGCATCTGAGCTAAATGAAAAGTATCCAATTGAAGTTGAAGATAAAGAAAACTTGCCAGCTTTGGCATTCTTAGCTCCATATCCGTCGGGACATGTAATGCTTTAACAAGAGAAACATTCAAAGGATTATTAATTAATTATCTGGTAAAAGCATAGAGGAACCATTTGACAGTACTTGACACAGCCGATATTATAGTGTAACTCCCATGCTTTGACGGAGTTACAACTGGTACGTCCAAATGTAGTTCCCCGGCCCGTCCACGTTAGCCATTCTGGCAATTATAACTGAAGATATATAGCAGTTGCAGTTTCGAAGGTGCAACCGAAGAGCTCTCTCGAACAATTGACGGAGTAGTTTCTGTCACTGTCGGCCGGTGGAGAAAGCAAAATTGAAGATGTTGAACGGGTCAGTAATGATGGTGTTTCCTTACTAGTAGTCGTTGTAGGATCTCTAGGTTCTGCCAGCAAACCAGGTACAGGTAGTGACATGATGTCCTCAGTGAGCCGATCTCCAGATAGGGCTTGAAATTGGATAACAAGTTCTGGGTTGTCACAAGTATTCAAAACGATCGACATCCGGCCGATGACGAATCCGACATGCTGCCACCTCATGCTCGACTCTGGCACAAAAAGAACAATAACGGGCAAGGCATTTGTATTGATGAATACAATCGGGGATATTCATCGCAACATTAATATTAAAATATTGAATAAAGAAATCTGAATGAGATAATAGCTCTCCGGGGGTTTATGTAGAGTAGAATCACCTTCTGAATGACGATGATGAGATTTTATCAAATACTTGATCTTGATCAAAATTGGAATCAGTGAAGTTATAAAARTATATTTTGAAGAGGTAGTACCTTCCAAGCTTTCMCTAGCATGTCTTTGAAGCCATAAATTTTAATCTGCTGGTCCGTAAAGACTTTGCATACCAAGCTTTATTGTCGGTCATCAGACGGAGAAATATCATTTTCGTTTGCCTAAAGTGGAGATGACAAAGAAGGGAGTAATTAGACCTGTTCATGGGCCGGGTGGCCCGACGGGCCTGGCCGGCCCGGCCTGGCCCGACCTCAGACGGGCTTGAACAAGTTTTTTGGCCCATAGGTTTAACCTCGGGCTAAAAATCCCGGCCCGCATAAAATTCGAGCCGGGCTCGGGCTTTGCCAAAATAGTCCGGCCCGGCCCGACCTATAGTTAAACCTAAGTAAAAACCTTATGTGATGTCCATTTTAATAATTTTTTTGATTTGAGAATGTTGTTGATTCACTTGTAGGCCCATTGTTCATTTAAATAGGGGAAAAAACATCTAAATTAAAATAGAAAATGTCCATTTGAATAGGGAAAAATTCGATTTTCTTTTATTAGGTCGGGCTTCGGGCTCGGGCTTGGGCTTCGGGCTTTTTATCAGGGCCGGGCTCGGGCCCAAGTTGTAGGCCCGTTGGTCGGGCTGGGCTCGGGCTCGGACCTAACATTTTTCTGTTAATAAAGAGTTGAAGCCCGGCCCGAGCCCGGCCCGAGCCCGGCCCGACCCGGCTCATGAACAGGTCTAGGAGTAACAACCGAGAGAGTTCCTGGAGAGTTGAATCCATGGTTTTTAAAACCGGAGCAAACAGACAGTCAAACCGAAAAAACCGAGAACCGGTTCTCTTTTTTCCCTCCAGGTTGGTTTTAAAAGATAGAACTAGGATGATTTGGGGATCAAAACTAATGAATCTGATTGTATTCATTTGGTGTATATGTACACGATGATTACAAGAGATAATGATGGAATGGTTACAAGAGATAATGAGATAATAATGAGGTTCAGTAAGGGATAATGATTCTCTCATTACTGAGATAATGATTATCCAATTACAACTCAAATGTGAAGAGGTTTAGTGAAATTATCTGTTGTTTGATGGACAGTGGACAAAAAGTGCAATTGAAGTTGCTTTTGTTGGACCTTGTCTTGAACAAAATGATAATCCAATGCAATGTGTTTKCCGCGGGCATGGTGAACGGGGTTAGAAGCGAGATATGTAGCCTCGAGATTGTCACACAACAGGACGGGAGGAGAGGAGGGAGGCATGTCCAACTCTTGAAGTAACATCTGAAGCCAAGTTAGTTCCCCAACAAGATGAGCAAGAGAGTGGTATTCTGCTTTTGTACTAGAGCGGGAAACCGTTGGCTGTTTCTTGGATGCCCAAGATACCAAGTTAGGTCCATAGTAAATGCAGTACCCGCCAACCAGCCCAGTCGGAGTCACTAAAACCATGTAATTGAAATGTTGAACTCTTGGTAATAGTGAGACCCAAATGAAGGGTGTGTTTGACGTAGCGCAGGATGCGCTTAACAGTGACCCAATGAGATATAGATGGTTGAGACATAAACTGTGATACTTTGTTCATGGAGTAGGCTAGATCAGGTCGTGTCACTGTAAGATATTGAAGGGCACCTACAGTGCTACGAAACAGAGAGGGATCCTCAAAGGGTGAGGAAGGATCTGCAACAAGCTTGGTACTGGTGGCCATCGGTGTGGAACATGGGTTGGCTTCGGTCATCTTTGTGTGCTTGAGAATCTCATAAGCATATTGAGATTGAGAAAGATGAAGATCAGTAGATGTCTGTGTACATTGAATGCCAAGAAAGAAGTGAAGTGGGCCGAGATCATGTAAAGAAAATTCATTGGAGAGGCGACCAATAATGGACTGGATCATGGAAGCATTTGATCCAGTAATGATGATGTCGTCCACAGACACCAGAATGAGGGTGATATCCGATGATGTGTGATATATGAAGAGCGAAGCATCAGCTTTCAATTCTGTGAATCCCTGAGCGAGAAGAGAATCTCGCAATGTTGTAAACCAGGCTCTTGGAGATTGGCGAAGGCCATAAAGAGAGCGATGGAGCTTACAAACATGATTTGGATATGAAGGATGAGCAAAACCCGGCAGTTGGACCATGTAGACTTCTTCGTCAAGGAGAYGATGGAGGAAGGCGTTACTTACATCCAATTGACAAGTGGTCCAAGAGAGAGAGAGACATCCATGGCAAGGATTAAGCGCACAGTGGTTGTTTTAACCACTGGACTAAAGGTGTCTTCAAAATCAATGCCTTCCTGTTGGTGATAGCCTTTAGCAACGAGGCGTGCCTTGAAGCACTCAATAGACCCATCAGACCAGCGTTTGATCTTGTAAACCCAACGACAACCAATAGCTTGTTTGTTAGATGGAAGAGGAACCAAAGACCATGTATTATTTTGTAGAAGAGCACCAAATTCAGCATTCATAGCTTCACGCCATCGAGGATTTCTTGCTACTTGTTTATATGATGTAAGTTCATCATCGTCCATCGTATGAGAAAACATAGCATATTTCGGATTTGGGCGATAAATACTAGATTTGGATCTGGTCTGCATGGCATGAGATGATGTGGTAGTGGACTCATAATGAAGAGGGGGCYGAAAGAATGTTGCAGTAACCGCATGAGTTGCAGATGATGGACTAGAAGGAAAAAGAACATCTATATGAGATGGAAATGGCGATTCAGCACCAGGTGGAGGAGAAACCAATGAAGACGAATCGGTTGAGCGGCTATCAGTAGTATCATTGCTGTCATGGTGAGTTGCCGAGGCATGACGAACTATTGGAGGAGGGCCCAGTAATGATGGGGATGGTCGTTGCTCCGCCTTTGGGGAGGATGCCAATCTTGTATATGAGAATGACTTTTCATGAAACAGCACATCTCTAGAAGTGTAAATGTGGCCAGTGGGAACATGAAGACAGCGGTAGCCCTTATGATCATCTGAATAGTCGATAAAGGTGAACAATTCTGATATAAAATTGAATTCCTCTTTGTTGTAAGGCCTGAGATTTGGATAGCAGTCACAACGGAAAACTCTTAGTAAATAGTAATCTGGGGACTTACCAAATAAAAGCTCAAGTGGGGACGCATGGTCGGCATTCCGTGATGGGAGTTGATTGATTAAGAAGGCGGTGGTGGTAAAGGCTTCCAACCAAAAGGAATGAGGTAGGTTTGCTTGAGCAAGAAGGGTCAGCCTGGTGTCAACAATGTGTCGGTGTTTTCGTTCCACAACACCATTTTGGGCATGAGTGTGAGGGCAACTGAATTGTTGGATGATACCTGAAGCTTTGAGGTAGGATTTGAATTTAAGAAATTCACCCCCTTCATCGGATTGAAACATTTTAATGGGTCTATCGAACTGTTTTTCAACCATTGTGCGAAATAAAATGAAGGTATGGAGTGCCTCAGATTTCAGGTATAAGGGGTATATCCATGTATATATACTATATGCATCTACAAATGAAATATAGTAATGGTGACCATTAGTAGAAGCAATAGGGGCAAGGCCCCACAAATCTGAATAAATTAACTGAAGTGGTTCAGAAATGACACTAGTAGAAGGAACATAAGGAAGACGATGATGTTTTCCTTTAGAACAAGAAGAACAAAAACTAAATGTGGGTTTGGTAGTGATAGGTAATTGATGACGCTGAAGTATATCATGCACCAAACGGACTTGTGGATGTCCTAGCCTCTGATGCCAACCATCTATAGTCGTTCTTACTCCCACCAAGGCCATTGGTCCCTTATTTTGAGCTTTATTAGTGGTAGTAGATAAGTGATAAAGACCATCTTTAATTGGTCCGATGAGAAGAGGTGTCCCCAGTTGTTTGTCCTTCACAGTAAAACCAGAAGCATCAAATTCAAATGAGATGTCACTGTCTTCACAAAATTGCTTAACAGAGAGTAAATTGTGTTTAATCTCAKGCACATGTAATAGTTTATTCAATTTGAAAGTATGAGAATTGGAATGTAAGATTGAACTTCCAATATGTTGTATATGCAAACCTGTACCGTCCCCTACTGCGATCTTATCATTGCCTTGATATTCATAATGAAGAGAAAAATTGTTGAGGTTTGTTGTGGCTCTAGTGTCGGGGTACCAGCCAGTGTCAGAAGAATCTTGTGTATTTGAAGCAATCAAAGCTTTGGATTGTGGCAGAGAATTAGAAGTTTGATAAGTAAGATCAAATTAGTGATAGCATGAGAGCTTAGCAGAATGACCCAAATGGCCACAGACCTGGCAAGTGATCTTAGGTTGTGACTGAGAAGAGGGATGGGTACCACGATCACGACCGCCGCTTTGACCTCCTCGGGATGGGGCACCACCATGCCCCTTGTTTGGAGAGTTGTTATCGTAAAAAGGTTTGTTGGAGGGACGATGCGTGGCAACATTAGCAATCATGTTGAATTCTGATGAAGTGTGATGTCATTCTAGTTGTTGCTCATGTTGAAGGAGCAAACCATGGAGTTCTTCAAGGGAGATGGGATCAACACGAGTAGTGATGGCTGCTACTAGGGAGTCGTAGTCAGGTTCTAGTCCTCCAGTAGTGTATAAAATTATATCATCAGTGGATAGTGTCTTTCCAACAGTAGAAAGAGAATCACTAAGCACTTTGATTTTTTGTAGGTATTCTGACATTGACTTCGACCCCTTCTGTATATGATGCAAATCATTTTCTAGATGCATGATGTAAGTTCTTGAGGTAGAAGCATACACACGGTGGAGACTACTCCAGGCTTCATGACAAGATCTACAACCTACTATTGAGCGAGAACACTCTCAGATAGAGTTGCTAGTAACCAGCTCAGCAACAACTTATCTTGAGTTTTCCATTGAACATAATCTGGATTCGTGGCTGAAGTCCTTACACCATCTTTTTTTATGGTGATTGTGCGTTTAGGACATCTATTGGAGCCATCGAGATATCCCATCAATCCAAAGCCATCGAGCAATGGCTCGTATTGAGCTTTCCACAACAGAAAGTTGTGTTTATCGAGCTTTATCAAAATGAGGTTGGATAGATTTCCGAAAGGAGAAATAGCTGGTAAGAGGGAGGAGGTTTGGGTTGAAGAAGAGGATGAGGCCATGGGGCTTTTCGGCTCTAATACCAAGATAGAACTAGGATGATTTGGGGATCAAAACTAATGAATCTGATTGTATTCATTTGGTGTATATATACACGATGATTACAAGAAATAATGATGGAATGATTACAAGAGATAATGAGATAATGATGAGGTTCAGTAAGGGATAATGATTATCTCATTACTTAGATAATGATTATCCAATTACAACTCATATGGATAATATACATTGGTAAATTGGTTATTCATCTAAATGATCCAAGATGTATCACTAAGAAACAATTTGCTATTTTGCTTCATGTGGCTACATAAGAGGAGTGACTCATTTCCCAATACTATAACGAGATGAAACTCCATGTAAGCCAAAAACTTAGATTAAGAATTTTCTAAAGGATTAAGGGGATGTTTGTGAAGAAATATGTTGTATGAATTTTGTCTTGAAAAATGGAACAATACATTTCTTCACTTTATGAGGCACCACATAAGCCAGACAGTAAAAGAATGCGTTACCATTGGGGGAAATGACAAAATGGCGTTTACTCCAATGGATGGCTCTCTCATAACCCCAGAAAAACCTATTAAGCAGCTCAACTAAACAAAATTCCAAATTCCATTGAGGAAACACCTATTAGGCATAAATGGCAATGTTACCATACCAAACACCATCTAAAACATTTATATATGGAATTTTTTTTTAAGACTTAAAGCAGATTTCATTCATTCAAAAAATTGATACAAATACATTGATACAAATACAGAGAATTGCCAATAAAGCCAATCAGAAAATTCAGATACGATTTCTCAAGAAGAACAAAATATATAACTTGATGTATAATATAAAACCGAATTTTCAATCAAAACTCAAAAGATATTCTATCGAGTGGTTCACTGAGTATGGTAATGTAACTATAATAAGCCATATTATAATTGTTAATCAAAATTTCTGAACCCTCAAATGTAAAAAATACCCTCCACATGGGAAAAAGCAAGAAAAGAGAAGCTACCCAGAACAATAACCTTATGTTCTCTTCCCACTAAATGACGGAGTTTCCTTCATTTTTTAAATCTATTAGAAAATTAGATGGCGGATGAGACATTCAAGAGAAACCAGAAAAAAAAAAAAAAAAGTGTAGTAGTGGCTAACCTTTCAAGAGGTTCATGTGCCGAACCTCATTCAATGAACCGTTTGAGACCTAATTCCCAATTCCCATTGAAGGACGAGAAAGAGCTTTAAAATCGGGTATACACCAGTGAGTAGCCTGGTTCTCATTAAATATGGGAAGTCAACAAATTTTAAATATTATTTGTAACATTTTAAACTAGAATTGTATATTTTATGAGACGTGGACTAAGGTGATGTTTGGCATCATGCTGGTTCTTTCTTACCGATTTTTATCAGTGTTTTTTTTTTTTCAAAAATTGGTAAATCTTGTTATTTGATATCATTTTTTCCATGTGAGACGATTTTTGAGAAATCAGTTTTGAGTCTGATTTTTAAGGGCAGATTATTTTTGTATGAGAGTTATTATTCAATGCCACGTTGGATGCCGTGTCATCCCCAAAAAATTGGAATCAACTAGAAATAAGGAAATCACCAAATTAAAAAAGGTGATCCATGAAAAGGGCTGATTTAAAGAATCGATTTTTGTCTGATTCCCTGAAAATCACCAAAATTGGCCAACCAAACAGAAATTTCAGCGCCGTGGATTCCTCTAATCCTGACATGGCTCCAATATGGTAGTGATTTTCAAAAAATCAGCATGGATGTCTAACATCACCTAAATGACTAAGGTATTGTTAATAGTTTTTATATTATTGGATGGTAAAGTTTGGTGTTTAACAAAAGAATCATTTAATTTTAGTTTTCAAAAACCATTTAAACCTACGATACTGTCATATAAAATGGAGTCCCATCAGACCAGAAAAGCTGGCAATGAGATCAATTCTGGAAAACAAAAATGACCTCAACTCGTATCCTTGAATGCAATAGAGCCCACACTTCAGTCGCTGGATTCCTTGCTTTAGAATTTCTAAATATAAAAAAGAAAATGTATGAAACCTAGAGGGGAACCTTTGTAAAGGTATCTAGGTATCATAGATGTGCAAAACAGAACTCCCAAAACATTATATGGTTTTAGTTGGCTTAACATTTTGCCATCGGACCAAGCAACAAGAGCCTTTTAGGAAACAAACCATAGAGAGAAAAAAAAAAGAGAATTTCTTGAACCATAAGATTTATAAAAAGTAACATAAAACTAAAGTAATGCAACTGGACGTAAGCCTAGTTATTAACAATTAACAAATAAGTTGTGTATCGTTTCTATCAGTTCTTGTTGAAAACCTCATTTTGACATTTGATGATGGATTGGATGATTCAATGGCTCAACCTACTATCCTTGTCTCCCAACCATATACTGATATACATTTTTAACATAGATTTAGACAATGTACAGCATACAGCAGTCCAATGACAAAAGATTATTAAGAAAACACTTTCTAACTAAACTGGAAAACTGGAGGGGAGGGAGGGGGCAGAGATAGATGGATAAAAAAAAGGATGTGTTTAATCCTCATTTCAAATTTTCATATCTTTTGCTATCGCTATACCAAGTTAGGAAATGTATGGTGGAGGGAGATGCAGTTCTCTCTTAGGCCCCGCTTGCTTTTCGATAAGTTACTTATCCGGATATTCGAATAAGTGTATTTATCTATATTCTTTTATTTCCCAGGTAAATAAGATAATGACCGTTTTAATCATAACAATTTATTATTAAAATGAACATTTTTGTCCCATCCAAGTGTTAGCAACTTTTCCCTACGTGGAAAAGTTATTTATCCACTTGGGAGATGGGTATCACTTACCCGGGTAAGTAATACCAAGGAAAATAAACTTTACCTGGTTCCCACATAAATCTGGAAAAAAAAAACACCAGTTTCTTTGATTGACCAACTTTCCCCTCTCATAATTCAAAAAAAAAAAAAAAATGAACGCTTCCTTGAGGCCTTAAGAGGAAGAAAGGTTAATTGTCCAACCTCTTCTAGGCCAAAAGCATATTTAATCACCAAACAAAACGTTTAAGAATACAATATGCAACAAAAAAGAGAAAGATGCATGCCTGGTTTCATCAAATTTCTTTCTCTGTAAATTAAGATGGTATCATTCAAACCACTTCATAATTTCTTACTCGACTATTATGAACCATGTTTCATACAAATAATTTTGATGAACACATTTAAGTCATAATTCAAACCAACTTTACTTAAAATAAATTAAATTTATTATGGAGTTAAAACGATGGAAGCTGTGCGCGTCCAACCACGAAACCCTATATGCATGCAGTTAGAATACGCAATTATCCTCGTCAAAAACACTAAATAGATGCATGTCATAGGTAGTATCATTATGCCTCGAAAACAGATATACATTCCAAAGCTTCTTCAGTATTAATTCTTCTTAGAAAATAATGAGAAAAGAAGGAATTAATTAAGCAGCAATAAACGATATAATGCATGCCATGTATGTGTATGTTAAATTGTTATGTACACGACCATGCACTAACTAAACCATCTAGTGTTAATGAGGAATAAAGCATTTAATCCGTACATCTCCCCCTGTTTTGATTGGTAACCGTTAAGGAATTATAATTTAAAACATCGTCTTCACCAAATTCCACACCCTTCTAAGTCGTGCGAAGTACCAACTCCAATCCTCCTTTTCCCAAACCCCCCACCTCCATCTTATCTTCTGTTTCATCTTCTCTCTCTCTCTCTCTGCCTGTTTGAGTTCTTACTTCACTCAACTCTCCCTCTAACACACAGAGAGATAACTAACATAATTGCATAGGCAATGTACTTTAACCATATAAAAGTGGAGAGCAGCGAGCCAGTATTTCCCTGATTATTCCAGGGCGAGGGAGAATCGTCACTCATAAGGTAAATAGAAATGGCTAAGCGAGATATTTCTCATAAAACTAGACAAAAAATCTTCGGTTTTTCCTTTCTGATAATTTGAAGCTGCTCTTTTTGGCGTCTTAATTTCCTTCTAACTGAATCAATCAAAGGAGTCACTATATATCCAAATGTTTCTCTTGTCTTTCTCTCTCCATGCAGTAAACAAGGATGGTGCAGTAGTACTCTGCTGCCAATGCCAGTAGAAAGCTTGGAACAGTCGTGGAGGAAAACATTCTTTGAACCCGAATACGAACCAATGGTTCCATATATCGATCCAATTGCCGTGGTGCAGGCGGCAGTGGAAGAACCAATTATTCCTCCAAGACATGGAATTCAGATACTCGAAATGAGTTTTTCTCCTTCGAGTCTAGTTTCCCATCTTATTATGATGAAGATATTAATCAAGGTGCAGTAATAATGGATGGGATCAATGACAGTGGTGATGGAAATTGTTTCTCCATTAAAATTGAACCAACGGAAATCACACAGGAGAGAGGGAGTTGTTCTTCAAGGTCAAGCATAAAGGCACAGAGCAAGAAGACGTGCCGCAGTAGCAGAAAGTCCAAGTGCAATTCAATAGACTTGGAGGAGATTAAGAGGCACTTCGACGTTCCAATAACCAAAGCAGCCAAGGAGATGAATGTGGGATTGACGGTATTGAAGAAACGCTGCCGGGAGCCTCAAATCAAGAGATGGCCTCACCGGAAGATCAAAAGCATATCCTCTCTCATTCAAAACGCTAGGGTAGGTCTGCGTTAATTACCCGTTAATTCAAAACGCTGTCTTTAATTACTTTTGCCATTCTTTTTTAACCCATCCGAAGGCTGTGTTTGGTAGTAGAGAAAGGTATACAATTAATTAAACCCCTTTAAGGTTTTCCTGCCTTTCGCTTCCTCACAAAGTCTGGCCAACTTCTACCAATCGATTCAATAGTGAGTAAACGACAGGATGTGGCTTGTTTAATGTTTATAAATGCTTCATGACAAAGTCAAAGTCAGTAAATGACCGATGATGACATACATCAGTCGTTACTCGTGAGACATACAGAGAGACCACTGGTGTAGTATTGTGTACTCGTGAGACATACACAATTTTGCATTGGGTTGCAGAGAAGTTTCTTTCATCACCTTTTACAGTTTTACCATTTTGTTTTTCTGCTTACCACCTGTTGAATTTGTGGGTGGGAAAAGGAAATGGGAATGGCAGGAGAAGTAGAGATGTTAGAAGGACACAAGAGAGGCAGATGGAGAAACTAACGGAGTTGGAGCTAACAGAGAAATCCAAGAAACTAAGGCAGGCTTGTTTCAAAGCCAACTACAAGAAGAAAAGGTCCTTGGCTGCTTCTGCCGCTGCTACAACTCAACTTTCTTGAACGAAACAATAGAAAATTTTAGGATTGGGTTTGAAACGATGCAAATGTGTAGAGTGTAAAATGGTTTATATAAATTGTAAAATTAGATTAGTTTTGTATCAACAAATTTATCAATATGTTTTAAGTTATAATGGATGTAAATATGATTTCCAATAAAATTTACTTATTTTTTATTGATATACTTTTACATCTTATTATCAATGTAAACTGTCATTTATCAATGCATAAATGTTATGTTGCCAAACATGGGCAAAAGTGAATCAGAGTACAAATTTACCCTAAACTAGGATTTACACTCCATTTGCATCATTTCCAAACACAGCCTAAGTAACACATGCGGCGAAAGAATCTGTATTGTGACAGAAGTACTATTCAATTAATTTACAATTTTTTTTTTTCTTCTTCTCCTCTCTTGTCCCTTTTTTTTGTATGTGTATGTGTGCACATATAAGACTAAATGAAAATATATTTTAGAGAAATAGCGATAGTAGCGATCGTTAAAGTACTCATTGGTCGAAACTAGGGTTAACTATTCTGCAACCCAATGCAAAATTTTGAATTACAGTTCCCATAATCTATTAATACTCCCTTTAAACCGCATTCTGATCATGAATTTAACACCAATTCACGGTTAAGAGTCGTCAAAGTAATTTTGATTTGCACCATTTTCATGCATGCATGTTGACTAAAATAAACCAATAAAATTCATATATAGAAGCCACCAGTTAGTTTAATGTGCAGAAATTTCCAAATGAAACCACTTGTTACTTTAATGTGCAGCGTTGTTACATGCTCTGCTCTGACAATGATGATGATGACGACGACGATACACTTTCATTATATATGTCAAATAATTAGACTAAGGCGAAAAGCAGTTAATAATCACCGAAAACATTGTTTTCTTTTTTCCTTTCTTGCTTTCTTATTCGACTTTTTTACTTTTCTTACATTTACAAATTCAACGCGGGCGCAGTAGACTGAAGCACCACGTGTCAAGAAACAGTAGAGTAGCATCACATCGACAGACCATTCTTCTTCGTTTTTCTACCATTCCGCCATGGGACCACCTGCTTAAAGCTTTCAGAAATGTTCGCCTGCATTGCACGTAACGGTAGAAAAAAAGCAAAGCCAACGAAGAATTTTCAGCGTCTTTGGAAGAAAAGGAGGTGCCAAATCAATAGATAGAGCTTAGACGTTTTATTTATATTTATTCTAAATTTCATTAGGCAGATGGAAGAGTGCTTTCAAGAAAAACTGTTATCTTTCTTTTTCTAAAAAGAAAAGTAATCAGAAGTTCATTCCGATTGAAAACAAAATGAAAAAGCGGAAATTAATGACAAGGATACAAAATTTGGGTTTCACAGCAAAGATCAAACCCAAAAGAAAACCGTTAATTAAAAGGAGTGAACATACACATTCAGCCAAATTTTTAATTTTTCTTTTTACTAGCAACGTTTGAATCAATCAAAATCCTCAATAAGATCATCTTCATTAAAACTCTAAAAATAAGTTAAAATATGATTAGAGGAAGTTGGGTTAAACTACTTACCCACAGATGAGACCTTGTGAGAGAGAGATTGAAGAGGCTACCGCTCCTTCTAAATCTTGTAATCTTCACCTTGTTATTACCATCATTCTCTCCAATCCCATTCAAGATCTTCCTCCCAGAAGAGCTAAGGTAGCTTCCTTTCCCCTTGGTCTCTCTCTTGCTGTGAAATATTGAACCAAAGCGTAATCCGTCAGTAGTAGTATCAAACAAGGAGGAACCATCACGGTCTCTGCCAAACGTGGCGGTGCAAGATGCAGAGCGACCCACATAAGGGCCATCCAAGACCGTTGTCGGGGAGGGCAAATTAGTAATCTTGGCTTCTGTGAAGAACAGCCGCGGTGGGAGCTCTAAGCACCTAGCACTGCTGGCTTTGGATACGCCGGTGGTGGTGGTGGTGGGTCGGGGCTTGCCGGGTGCTTCTTCCCACAGGAAAGGAACGGAAGCTTGGGCTGATCGAGGTGGCGGAGTACACATCCCGGGAGGTTCAGGAAGCCCATGACTGGGGAGAGAAAAGAGGGAAAGCTTTGGTATGGGGGTTGGATCAATATCAGGCTCGAATTCCCTTTCCATGGCTCGCTACTCTCTCTCTCTCTGGTGTGAGCTGAGCTAGTATGCGATGTGACTGTGTTGTTGTTGATTCGTTGAGGTGAGGTAGGGCGTTGAGTTTGTTATATAAAGAGGTGGGGGACGGAGGAGGAAGAGGAAGAGGAGGAGAAGAATGGGAGCTGAATCGCTGATGGGGATGGACCAACGGAAGAGGTGTGGGTAAGTGAACGTGAAACGACGCTCCTTAACGCTTATTACTTGATCGATCACGAGAAAAGGCTTTCACTCTGAATTTATTTATTACATTACAATTTACACTAAATAAATATATAGTTATTATAATTAGGAAATTTATTAGAAAAGGCCATATTATACGTGAAGATGGGGTGGGCCCCATGAATCATGGAGATATTCAAAAGGTCAGAAATGGACGTGATAGCAGGATTAGGACGAGAGAGAGAGAGAGAGACGAAAAGGAGAGATAAACCCAGCTCTTCCATGTATTTCTTTTCATTTCACCGTCTCTGCTACGTTTTGTTTTCTTCTTATTCATGAGTGAGTGGATTATGTCAAAGGCCAATTTCTCTTCCTCTCTTGGTTCCAATAAGTATAGACACACTAGTCAGGCAGGACTCAGGACTCAGGACTSAGCTCCAAAAGTCTTGGCTTGGCATGGATCCCTCCCAGCTCCGTTGGTTTTGGTTAAGTAAAACCAAAGAAAAGAAAAAGGCTGATTATTAGCTAGCTGGAGCTGGTCGTCTGTTCTTAATTGCTGCAATATTCGAAGGAGTGAAAGGTACCTACAGAATCTTGTTTGATTGATGGATGAAGGATGATAAAGAGAAGGAAGTCAAATGGGTTTGTTATAGTAGCTAGGCTAGCTAGGTGTTTATATGTTATACATGTAATGTAATTAAGTGAGGTCAGGTATTGATGGGGTTGGACGTTTGCCAATATTATTGGTCAGTCATTCATGTCCTTTTGTCTATATTGTTGATGCTTTGGATGCTTGCTTATTGAAAACTAACAAGAGCAAATGGCGTTAGCACCAACCACCAAGTAGTCATCGTCGCTTTCAAATTGTCGGACTATTTGGACAAGGACATGCTATTCCAATTTCCAAACACAATTCAGTGGTAAAACATGGATACCGTTACGGTTTTATCATGTATACACTACTGTGGACCGGATGGTACATGGCAGCCTTTCTGATGTTCCTCTCCTACATTTCCATCATTTATTGAGGAAAAGTGAGTAGGAAATCCCGACATCCCGTTTGTTTATTGAGATTTGTGAGCACACCTTATCAAAATGAGCTTCGAGCCTTCCCTCTTCTCATCATCCATTCAATTCATGGGTCAAATTTCCCTTCTACATCTACTTCCATACATTCTTGTGACTACACTGATTAATATTTTAAAATTTTGCTTTAATGACCTTGGATTGAAATGCTACATCTCCTGAACCCAACAACTATGCTAACACCACACAGCATCTAGTTAGCTACGCATTGGAAACATGTTCCGTACATGTAAGTTAAAATCATAGAAAAATATTCCCATGCATAGTTGGATGTGGTGCTGTTAAAATTAATGTTCACGCGAGGATTTTGCTTTTAAGAAATCCCATCTCAGGTTACGGGTATTTATGAAAAAGGAATGAAAAAAATTATTAACTATTTGCTCTTTTGACCTGGTTTCCCTAAAATTAGGGACGCAAATGGATCGGATTCGAATTAGAATATATTCAAATCCGATCCTATATTGTTCATGTCAGATCCGATCTGATCTGAAGATTCAATTGGATTTGATAGGACTTGATTTGAATTCGAATTCTATCTGTAACTCAGATCTTTGGATCTGATCTGATCCGACTTATTTTCTTTAAAAATTAATAAATTATTAAAAGAAAAAAAATAAAATATACTAATTTAAATAAAGTAAAAACAAAAATGCAAGTATTTTTTAATTATTTTCATCATATATATACATGCTTTTTATAAAAAAATAAATAATATAATAAATTTATAAAGATATAATATAAAAAAGTATATTTATAAATAAATATATAACATATATATATATGTATTAATATTGAATCGGATATTCTCGAATCAGATAAGGGGTGATCCGAATTCAACCAAATAGGATCCGAATTCAACCAAACATCCCACTTTCTATTAGAGTTTTGAGTAGATACATCATGTTAGAAAGAAGAAGCTTGTATGAGGGAAAGTGTAAAAACCGTTCAACCAAAAAGATTAAGCTGTTAGCTGTTAGGTAAAGCCTTAGAATAGGTTTTTGTTATTTAATATTGGGCTTAAGTGTGAACAAACATATACCCATCCATATCTTATGCTAAAATCTAATTAGTTATAATGGGAATAACAATGATCTAACACTAAACCATTTCGTCAAACAAATTATGATACCATGTCAATGTCAACCGAGTACTTTTCAACCCAAACCGTTAAACAATTAGGTGAGGTCCCTGATAAGCTTTTATTCTCTAATAGGAAGAACCCCACAGACCTGGTATTGCCCGACCTGTAATGCTGGGTGTGGATAATTTAGAAGCCCAGTGGGGTGGATCTGGCTGTGCTTGGATTTCAATTCTGCCCCAGTCCTATTCTGCAGAATTCAACTGCCTAATCCCCCCCTCCCCCCGGTGGAAATGCAAATAAACTCAGAGGTCTCTAAAATCTGCTAATTTCCAAATTCCACGCCGCTTTAAAATTTTGGTTATATTGGGAAGCCCATAGTTTCTTTTTCTTTCATTTTTTAATCTTTTCCTTTTTCCCCTTTTTCTTTGAGAAAAAAAAAGAAAACCCACCTCTCAATCCAGGAGCAAGTCAACAGGTGAAATGAGAGTCGGAACCAATTATATATATAGAGAGAGAGAGAAAAGAAATGTAAACAGCACGTATGCCATGTCCACACTCTCTAGTCGAGACTACATCTGTGCCCATATACACATCTCAGCGTACATTAAAAGCATCTCCTAAAATTATCAATGGGAGATATTTTGTATACACCGTTGGGATATGTTATGGGGTGTTTGTGGGGCGCCCTCCGTGAGACGCAGATGTGAATTCTCTCCTAGTCTCTACTTGTATATTAATTGAGTCCAAAATCCGGTTGAACAGGCCATTAATTATAACATGTGAAAGAAAAATTATCATTATAATCACAACCTTTGGTCATTGCCAGTTCTCTAATAAAGCTGCTTTTGCCATTTGGTGGGATGGCGAAATACTACCAAACTACAAATCAGTTGAATCGAATGTCACGGATTTGCTTTTATATATTTCTGTTGTATTATATTTACCACATTTTTCTTAAGGTCGATCAATTTTAGGCTAATAAATCCGTATATTAGGAGAATTTTAAATAAATGTAACAACAATCAATAAAACTTCCAAAACAGAAAAAAAGATCTTCAAAAGATGCTTATTTACACAGTATGCAGGAACGGCAACAGAGCAGGGTGGGGCCAAGATTTGTCTGCCCTGTTTTTGAACCTAAACTCAAGTACCCCACCCTGAACTTAACCCAACCCTTGTTTCTAAATTTGCCCTGCTCCACCCTTCATTCCTACTTGTATATTTTTATTTATATTTATTTTTAAATCTATTTATTATATTATGAGTTATGTATTAAAGCTTTAATAAGTAATGTAAAACCGTGCAAAGGGTATCATAACATGCTCAGATTTCTGGTACACTTCATTCATATATGTCTCCTAGGTATAGGTGAAGGGAAGATACCTGGGGGGATATGATATTATGGAGTAGGATGGGAAGGGGGGAGGAAGGCTCTACGGTTAATTCCCACCTTGTACGTTGTTCTTGTATTAATTAATTAATGGTGCTGCCGTGCTGGAGACAAGCCATCTTCGGTGGGTTGAGCCTATATCCGTATGTATTTCCAATAAATTTCCAATAGACAATAAGAAACAAAGCAATGTTAATAATAGATGCATGGCATGATCAAATTGAGTAGTGTGTCAAAATTTGTAGGATATAGAGGAAGGAAGGACGAACCTTCTACTATCCTCCCGTACCTAGTTTACATAGTCCGGCACCAGCTGGTAGGTGTTAGACTGTTAGGTGTCCCATGCCAACTTAATCATGCATGTATATATGTGAAGGTGGAATGAAGCTTCCTCCTATCTTCATCTTCCACTGCAAAACAAAGTAATATGAAATAAATGAACATTTGATGATGATTGATGTTTAATTTGAAGTCATGGTATGTATATATGTATGTACATCAAAATTGGATTATATGATAATTATGTACATGGGTTTAAGCCCAATCAGCGCTCACACACCGACATCAGTACATCTGTACATCTGTACAGTTCCATACAGTTAAAAACAATAAATGCAATTCTAATATTAGTTGAGGCCATACCTATATTTCCAAATTAAACCTCTCTAAAGTCTAAACAATTATATATACTAAACTAATACTTATTCTAATTTTAATTCAGGTTGTATTTGGTAGGATGCTAGTTTTAGATTGGTCCATATAAATTCATGGAAACATATCATGTCATATAGTGGAGTGAATTTGCGTTTATCAAGGCAAAACGTTTTAGGTAGAAACAGCAAAGCTGCAAAACACAACCTTAAAGCTTGCCTCTTTCAAAGTAAGGACTAACTAACAATTAACATGGTGTTGGAAAGTGTGGATGCTTTTTAGGACTGGTTTTCCAAAAAAAAATATATTCATGTTTTTAAGACCCGTTTTTCATAAAAAACACTTCTCACGTAAGCAGTGAGTAATACTATGCTGTTTGGTAAGGAGATTTTTATTACTGTTTTTCATGTATCTATTGACAGATAAGCACCACAGGATATACATCAGTCAACTGTAGGGAAAACAGTTTACCAATGCATGAGATACATGGGATGAAGCATGTATCTTAATACTGTTGAATAAACACCACATAGGATACCCGATTTTCAAGACATATCCGATTTTTTAATAATTGGCTGAACCAAACAATAAGATACATGAATGTTTGTTGAAACGCCTATTGGATTCGAAGTAATACCGTTTTTTTAACAAACGACCACAATTCCAAATATCTCTAAGAAATAGTCCCGATCCAAAAGAAATGAGGGCTACGCAGATAGAATAGAAATCAATAAATGAAGGGGACACATGCGTCATGCCGAAATCATCATACCAATAACCATGAACAATTGAACATGAACCAGCATCTTCCATCTCCCTACGTACGTAGCAGAGGGCTATACCAAGTACAAACACTGCAA